TGTATTCCAGTTAAATCGATACAGATTCTTGTTCTTTTCCAAACGCGTGTCAACTTTCATTTTAGTTACCAAAGACTGAGTTATCATGTTCAGATAAAGAAAGCTGAATTTTATTATCCTGCGACTTCTCGGCTATTTTGATGCGATGTATTGAATGTGGAAAATAGGGAGGTTGGATTTCATGCAATTGAAATTTCATACTCTGTCCAGGGATTGGATAAATTGCCATGCCTCCTTCAGAGTTGCGTAGGGACAAGGTTTCCTATCCATCAGACTAGACATAACCAGAGTGGCTTTATTTACAGATTTTCTTTAAATGTATCGGAAGTTCTACATCGACGGCTTCTTTTGGCTTGTTAGGCAGTTGTTTTAAAGTTCGTAAGTCTTATTACGTTACGGCAGCACGGTATCATATTTATGTTACTTAAATGAAGGCTGTTTGCCTTATGTTCACTAAAATGAGTTTTGTTTTTAGTTGTTTCCTTTTTCACAATGTCAGATGAGTGGTGACTATAACGATTCTAGCGATTGTAGTGCGAAGATATCTTTTTCGTATTTTGCGTGGAAAAGGTAAGTACTGCATCTATGTGCTGTCGTTGCTAACCTCTGATTGTATCTTAGATTGAAATCTCTCGCGCTAGCGTTTCGACAAACCGAAAAGAAAGTGGTTAAGATGAAAAATGAAATTGAACGCCAACTTGCAGATAGCGAAGAGAAACGAAACTTGGTAATTTGAAAAATTTTTTCCCCATTGAACGATTAGCAAATTCAATTTTGAAAGTCTCATAAGTTTTATAGCGGGACAGTTTCTTTCGACAAAACGAGCCTGCATGTAAGTTGATTTTAGAAACACGAGAACAATGCATTTTAGCTTTTCTCAGTCGACTAGGCCTAATCAAAAGCTGAGCATTTTTATTTGAACACCTTTAAGTATAATCGGAATTGACCAAAGTTGCATAAGCGAAATAAGAGATAGAAGCGGCTACAAAACATGATGCACATCTACACAGACGACAGTGACTTCAATTTAATAATAATATAGGCAGTAAGACGTGAAAAGTCGGAAACACTACGCAAACAGTTTGACAGCTGACTAACGGCTAAGTATTCGGAATTTCACAGTTCTCAAACGAAATTACTTTGCCCCAGAACCAGGTGGGGAACCTGAGTAGTACAGACAGAAGATTTAAAGTTTGTTCTCGCCAGAAGCGCCAGTTTCGCATTGGTTCCTAAGAAGATGCCGTTTCTCAACATTGCTGCACCATGTGATCAGACCCTTCTGAGAAATCACCATCCGACCGTTCAAGCATTTTTGGAAACAATTGCTGGAGAAGAACTCTGCCGGTCCCAAGACCGGTTGAGAAAGGAGGAGGATTTGAGACCGTGGCGAAGTCTCCACGAAATTTCGCCACCTGCCCTTCATGCTATCAACGTCATCGAAAATTATGCCTGTTCGGTCGTTCCGGATAACCAAGGGCCGCACCGGCGTTGGGAGACTGAGGCAGGCTGCGAAAAGTCGGCGTTCAGAACCTGCTCATCGCCGTCTGCCAACCAGCGTAGCAGCACGACAACGGCTGGCGAAGATCGACGGAACGACGACGAAGATACACCTGTCAGCAACGTAGTCGCTACCCTGTCTGAACGGAGGAGATAGACAGTGCGATACCATTATAGCACATCAGAAAAGGTTCCATGATAACGACACCGCAGTGGGAGCTTACAGTCGGAAATTGCAATATATCCTGACTCAGAGGGTAAGAGTTGATGAGGCCAGCCATAAAGTACCAACTCGATATTGTTGGACTCTCGTCAACGAAGCGCCAAGGCTCTGGACTCCTGATCATCAGCGGATAGAAGCTATTCTGCT